CCCAAAAGTGACTTTAAAAAAATGAAGTGGTGAAGATTTACGCCTCTTCCATGATCATCACCATTGGTCTCAGTATGTTTTTTTAATTTTAGGAACAGAAAATATGTGAGAATTGAAAAATAGGAATAAGAAGGGTTTATGGAACTCTGAAGAGTATCACTCGAGATGAAGATTAAGTGCCCTTAGGTTCCTTCTGGTTCCAAGATCCTCATTCTCCATTGCTCTTTCAATCCCACCTTCTTCCTACCCAATCCCTACCCAACTAGCTTGGGTTACAGGTGGAGAAAAGATGGAAAGAAAGTGATAGAGAAGGGAAGAATAGATGAAGCAAGTATGTATGGGGGGTGAGGGTGGGCGTGGGTATATTAAGGAGAGTTTCTAAATCAACACTGTCCAATGGAACTTTCTACAATGGTGGAAATGACCTACATCTGCATTTCCCAAAAGGGAAGCAGCTGGCCCTTGTTGCTATGGAGCCTGTGAAGACAACAATCTACCTATAAACACAGTGCACAGCTCTGTGCATGGGTAAAAGTGTGACAGAGGAAGTACATTTTCAATTGTATTGAATTTAAATTTAAAGAGTTACATGTGCCTAATAGCTAACATATTGGAAAACTAAGTTCTAAAAAATATTGTATGTACTCCAAATCGAGGAGAGGCTGTACAAAATCCATAGAGACAGAGAGCTGCTGCTTCTCAGTCTTTCACATTGCAAACTGTAGACCCTCATTCCATAATAAATCATGTGGCCCGTTTTTAAGGGATAGAGATTACAAGTGAAGAAATAAAAATACTACGTCAAAGAAGTTAAATGGATAGTGTTTGTTGCAGATTAAAAATCAGTCATGTGCACTCACTGTGCATGCTCAAGACTTTCTCAAGGTCCACACGTCATTCTCACCAAGTTCAGAATCCAGGGAATAGGGAGGGGCTGTAACTGTGCTCTTGCTGCCTCAGGGTTACATCGCATCCAGGATCCTCTCCAGAAGAGCCTGCTACGTCATGAAGATGAACCATGATGCCATCCCTGCTCTGGACCAACTCAAACGGTTCCTCTATGAGAGGAAGGTAATTCTGGAGTGGCCTTAAATATTCCATGTTCTTGAGCCAGGGAAAACTGGTCACTATGGAGAAATGAAGAGGGTAAAGGATCATAATTTTATATCTTATTACTATCCACTTATTAGAGTATTTTCACAGTTATTGTTTTTTGATAAAGGAGTATATCTCTCAGCTTAATTTCTACCATAGATCCAGCAATACAAAAACTTGTAGTAAATCCCAGTGTTTCTGTAGAAAGGACTGAACAGCTTCTCTTTTCAGAGCAGGGTTCTAAGAAACAGTGAATGGCAAAGAAAAGGAGTGAAGTTATAATATTCAATGATACAACATGCAAAGAAACAATATAGTATAGTGAGAATAAAAAAAAAAACCATTCGTAAAGTTAGACATCTGGGGTTTAATTCTCCCTCCCATTCATGCCACCTTGGGCATAGGAATCCCTCTCTCTGAGTTTCATTGTCATCACCAGCAAAATGATATTGGTAATAATGAGAATTCTCTGAAGACCAAGTGGTCAGGAAGAGATGTCTTGAGATTGCTGACCACCTTCTATTTAATAACCTGAAAGGAAAAAAAGTCACAATTGAGAATAGATATACCAGATTATGTCAACATATTTTTACCCAATCCCACTCTATTATACTGATCTAGGCTCTGAATACCATGTCCTCCAACGAATACACCTGGGTCAAGTACAACCCGCTGCAGTCTTGGTTTACAGACATGAAATGGTTCTTTCTCGGGTCACCCATCGAGAAGCTCTGCAAACACCTCCCCTTGTACAAGGCAGAAGTGGTTACAAAACCACGTGAGTATGAATGAATCATAACTTCACCCAATCTATACTAATAGAGTAATGTGTCAATTAGACTGGACATCTTCTGGACGTCCTTCCAGACAGAGCCACGGTGGTGGGGGTCAAGGCAGAGGCAGTTACGGGCCATCAGGCTGGCAGGGGAGGGCCGTTGGACATCCCTCAGGGATCCTGGATTGGAGAGGGTTCAGCCTGGGCTGAGAAACAACCCCTGTGCACAAATTTTGTGCACTAGGCATTTAGTATTTTCTAAAACCTCTAATGTGCCCATACTCTACTAGGTGTTGTGTGAAATACAAATATAAAACATGACTCGATCTGGTTTGCTTTGGGAATTAAATACTGACTACATGTAGATATTGTGCTAAATGTGAGATATAAAAATGGATAAAACTCTGCCCCCAAGGAACATATAATCTGGCAGAGAAGTTGATCAGTTAATACAGAGAAAGGAATATAAAAAAGATTCCTGGGTGTCAAGGAAAACCTGAGGCATGTGCTCTTACCAGGAATTGAACTGGTGACCTCTTAGTTCATGGGTTGGCTGGGCTTTTCTGATATTTTTATACATAGTTTCTAAATACAGAAGAGAGGCCAGAGCCAAAGAGGCTGGGCCACAGATGTTGCACACAACAACATAAATCCCCCAGAGTTGTGGGAGGTAGATAAAGACAAAAAGAATTAGCATTCAATACATTTCTTCTGCCCAGGAAAAAAATAATTTAGTTAAGACACTTTTCTTTTTGTAGGGTCATTAGCATTTGTAAGTAAAGATACAAAGCATGTCATTAATGCATAGCATCAATAGAACGGAGACAGACATCTTTTCCAGGAATTGTCAGTCTATTATCTTTTGCAGTACATGTATAGCAAAAATCTTGGGTAACATGAAGTTACATGTACAACCTCTAGTCAAGACACTAACAAAAGGCTTTGATTTGTTGCATTCTGATAATGTATTTCTTAATCAAAAATGTTCCTCCTTTTCAGATGATGCCGGTGCTCATGGCTGCGTAAAGGCTGGGCTCCTGGGTATCTTAGGGATTTCCATCTGTGGAGGCATTGATGTTTAAACATCAGCCCATGGGCTGCATCTTTTCAAACAAACACGCCCTTTGGTTTCACCTCAGAAGACAAATTGAATTCTTTCCAAAAACTCCAACTAATTTTGAGATTCAATAGCAAAACATAAATACTACATTTACAGCTATCTGAGTGTTTGCTTTTTTTCTGTAAATATCAAAGGTGTGTCAATTGATGTTTATGTCAATATATAAAGGAGAAAAACTGCCAGGATTTCAGGTCAAGTACACAAGTGTGAAAATTTCCAAATAATATAGCGGGGTCACATACAGGCTTGTTGGAGGTTGCAAGTCTCCATCTTTGCAACTGTTCACTGACCAGCTGCCCCTTTGTCTGTCCAACATCCTAGGGCAGCCTGGGGAAAGCAGGGACTCAGGTGACACTAACCTCCATCTAGTGAAGGGGCATGGATTTGGGGTGCCCTTAGCAAAAAATTGACTACTCAGATGAAGGAAATTATCCCCTCTGACAAAACACTCAGCCTCAAGGGCCATTCACATGTCCTTTAGCTCATCAGAGCAGTAGATTCAACCTTAATAAACATTATCATGATTACATTGTCCCAGCAGAGAGGAAGGTTGGAGCACCTTCACCCAGGGAACAATATACCTTGCTGAAAATCTCAGCAGAAGTAAGAACCTACCTGCAAATGCCAAGCCCCTATATAGAAGGGAAGCAATTTCCAATATAACAAAGAAATTGCATAATGTGGGAAAATTTCCAGATCATGTAGCTGGTTCTCATGTTGACTGTTCATCGACAACTCCTATGCCTAACTCTGTACTTTTTTGTTTAAAAAATATTATTATTGATTTCAGAGAGGAAGGGAGAGGGAGATAGAGATAGAAACATCAATGATGAGAAAGAATCATTAATTGGCTTCCTCCTGCACACCTCACACTTGGGATCGAGTCCACAACCTAGGCATGCGCCCTGACTGGGAATTGATCTGTGACCTTCTGGTTCATAGGTTGACACTTAACCACTGAGCCACACCAATAGGGCTTAACCCTGTACTTCTTAATAACCATTACTGAATAGTTGAACGGTCACTTAGGCAAAAGTTTTACTTTTTCATGACTCTGCTTTCTTTAAGTCAGTTAATCCTGCTCAGCCTTGACCTATCACATCTGATACTTCCACTCTGAATGTGTTTATGCACATATCTCCACCTTCCTCAACCTCAACAAGCTACATGAGACCAAATCCATAGGTTCCACCCTTATCCTAATTAAGCCCAAAGGTTTACCTTGAACATTTCCCTGCAATTATCTTTCCATTCATGGCTGTAGATAGCCACACCACATCATACTTTACAGTGCTGATGCCCAGCTCGGTCTCCTGCAAATTGGTGCTGAGATCACCCAGCGTTCTCCCACTCGCAGTAATCCTCCTCACTCCCGGACCAATCCCAGCCCAGTCCCACCCTATTTAAAGTGCTCCAAACTCCAACACAACCTCTGTGGCCATCTGTATCTTCAGTATTCCTTCCTCTGTTTATTCTTGTGTCTAAGGTAGGGGGAGCCAGGGATGTTCTGTGTGGTGGGAGTGGAGCTATCTCTGTCCCTCCCAGCCTCAGTAATAGACAGTTAAAGAACCAGTGCTAAGAGAGCAGGCCCCTTACTCATTTGTAGAAGAGAGAAATGGCTAGGAGTTTCCACTAAGGTATCTAAACCACTAAGAAGGTTTAGACCAGCTCCAAGGGGAGGACTTGGGGGTCTAATTTCACTTGGATCTCTCTCAAGGGTTTGCATGGAGCAGGCTGGGGTTTGCATAGTGAATAGGCTTGCATAGAATCTTAGCATCAATTTGCAGGAATCAGACATATGGCCTCAGACCTGACAGATTGTGCTGTGCCGTGGCTAGCATCTTTTTGTTATTTATTTATCAAGGTATTATTTAAGGGACACCCTAAGAGAGGCCTTTAGAATTGAGACATTCTGGGAGAGGCCCTCCTCTTTCATACCATACAGGCTGCAATTTTGTGGACTGCATATGGAGGGGAATGCCAGTAACTCGAGAGAGGACGGTGCAGGCAGAGAGAGCTAGAACATCATCTGCTAGACCAGTGCAGCAAGCAACTTTATTGTTCTAACCCAGAAGGAGAAACGGGACCCACTTTTGCAGGTTACAAAGCTGGATCTTGGGTCAAAAGGTAGAAGGTAGAAACAAGGAGCTTTTTATTAGCAGATGGGAGTGCTGAGCCCTAAGTGCTGGTTTCAGGTCAGTAGTCCCGTCTAGGCGGGTCCATTCTCCACATGGCAGACCTGGAGGGTCAGAGTCCAGCGATCTCCCCGCAGATGGAGATCCCCATAAAGTTCAGAAGTTGGACTTCAAAACATGAATCAGGGTCTACTGACAGCGCGGTACCTTTAAGAAGAAAGAGAAGCATTTTTACAAAATAATTACTCAGTCATTTTCAGACCCCAAAGTAGAGTGGATAACTTACATCCTGCACCTAAATCGGATGTGATGCTCAGGAGAGCTCTACTAGCAAGAGACTAAAATGGGACTAAAATGGGAGCTGTCTCCTGTGCTTCAGAATTGGCCCTACATCCCCCGCTTTCTATTTCTACTGACCTTCAATCATACTCCCAATTCTTTAATTTCTCCCTGTTTTCCTGCTGGATCCTCTTGTTATGAAAAAGCCTTGTTCATTGGGTTAATTTATACTAAGATGCAAGAGATTGGCAATAGCCTAATGGGAAAAGTTTACTGACTATATCTGGAGTTTTGAGATATTACCTGGTAGCTTTTCAAGCTGATCACCACTGATCCCCACCATATCCCCAGCAGGGGTGCCAGACTCTGAGATGCTCCTTCCCCAGTGCGGTCTATAATTACTAAGGTCCTGCATTCCAACCTCTCAGAAACCAGAGAAAGAGGGGGAGTGAGAACCTCAAATAGCTGTAATAGTGGGATGTCAGCCACTGGGTGGCTTGGGCAGGAGTTGATGAAACTTTGGGTCAAGTTAGGGTACCTACCAACTGCCAAATCCCACTGATGAAATAGCAGCCCCCAACCATCTGGGAAAGCTAAGTTCACTCTGCTTCCTGTTCTCACTCCTGATGACAACAGACCATCTCTGCCACCAGGGGAAATATATCCCAGGCCATATTATTTTTATACCCAATAGCAAAGAAATGAAATAGACCCAAAAATTGTCATTAGAATTGGTCAATGACCTAAAAATTGTATTGCACCTTTTTGTCTCACCAAAGGTCTTTGGTTTCTAGTTAAGTTCCTAACACACCTTCTTTCCGCTGCTGGGCAAAGTAGGTAGGAACATCTCGGCACATGTCCTTGATGGGCATTCCGTACTGTGCTAAGTTCTTGACCCGGTTGGGTAAAACAGTGTAGGTCAGGCCACGAGTGGATGGATAATGCTTTGAACCCTGGAAGAGGTGGTATTTGAAAGGGGTGAGACAGCATATGGAGGCGGTGCAGCAAACAAGAGACAAGGAATGTATTTCAACACACTTGGGTAATTCAGTTTACAGAAATAGCTGTAAACCCAAACTTGTCCTTGTGTTTTGTCTTTAGCTGCAGTATCTTCTCTAGCCACAAGGTGATGATATTACTCCAGGAAAATCTGTGAGTGAGCTTGTGTGTCTTTGTTACTGGGTTTGTTTGTATTCCTTTAAAACTTCCTAATTCCATAACTTTCTAGCCTCCATTGCTTTTCTCGGCTGTGGTGATAATATAGAATAGTTCTTAAATAATGTGTTATTTTTATATTATGTTTTACTTGCCAAAAACTTTCTACCTCTCTTTCTATGTGACTCAAAGTGCATTTCCCCCCAAATTCAGTAACTCTTCTGCCATGGATATTAATGTTGCTCCAGGGATCTGGGCAGGTTACTAAAGCAGTATGTTTCAATGACTTGCCAAGGACTTCCTGCTGATTTTAATTTATCTGACTATCTTTGTCACTTAAGAGGCTGAAGGGAAGATAGTCTCAGCAGACCTGGTTTATTTTCATCTAAAAAACGATACATCCGTATATGATGGGTGGGTGTGGGTGTGTGTGCAGGGAAGGAGAGAAGGCACAGAGATGTGAGCCCTCTATTCATTTACTCTAAATCTTACAGTCAACAATTTATATTTACTAATAGGTAGCTCACATTCCTTTGCAATGCATCAAAATTATGTCATTGCATGGAATTTTTATTGATCAGGTTATGATTTGACTTATGTGGGCCATGGATTGGACTTGGGGTCCTTTGCATGATGGTAGGATTTCATAGACATTATGCACAAGCATGAATCAAGTTTTATCTGTGTGTATACCATTGTCCCAGGAGGTTGGAATGAAGAATTGGAATACACCATTCTAAGAGGGGACCACAGGAAGCTGTCTCACTTACCCGGGAGTCCAGGGCCTTGCTAATGTCATCCAAAGTTGGGAAGACAGCTTTGTCCATCTTGGCCAAGACACAAGCCATCTTGCTATATATCTTAGCCACCAAGAGATCCTTAAAGCAACACAGCAGAACCATGTCATTCATCAGTCACAGTATTAGGGATCCTACTCTCCATCAGAGCTGGCAAATAGCTGTTCTTTAGACTGTGATGTAGAGCACGCCAGAGAGAGCACCCCTGGGCACCAGAGTGAAGAGCCAGCAGCAGGACTGGCAATGGGCACAGAGACCTGCTGTTTCTGAGGGCCATGTGGCATTGTCCCTGCTGCAGGCACAGGAAGGAATCTTCCAGGACACTCTACACACTACTGGTAGACTGGTGGGATTGGAGAGAGACCCAGTAACACAGCTGACTTTAAGGACCTGATGTGGCATTCGGTCCTCAGGCCTTCCACCACAGGGTTGTCATGACGATGAGAGGATAAGACAAGATACTACGTGAAAGTATCCTGTGCATTACAGAATGTTCTCTGAATGTACGGGCTGATTAGGATCTTTGGGTCATACCTTCTAGACTCAGATTCTAGGCCGGTGTCTGCCACCAACCATGTGGCCCTGAGCCTGTCATTTGGCTTCTCTCAGTTTTGGATCAGAGAAGTGGGTCCCTGACTGTGTCTGACTGAGCCTAAGAATACTGCACCTGCGTCTCCCTCCTCTAGCCAGGGCAGTTCTGACTTCTTCTGTTCTATATAATGGTTTTTTATGGAATATATTGTTTGGGGGAAAAGTTTCTAGGGGTTAATACAGAGTTGGAAATCACTAACCTGCATTCGCTTTAGAAGGATTCAGGAGATGTCTCCTGGAGAAAGTCAGGAGCGGGTTAAATGAAGAGTGAGGGAGAATGTATTCAGGAAAGAGAGCATGGTAGTAGATACAAATGGGAGTAGAGAGAAAGCCTGCATTTGAGGTGTCTATCCTGAGATGTCCAATGTGAAGACAGACAGAGGGACTTCTAACCAGCAGTGGCTGGATGTCGGAGGGCTTCTGGGTCAGAGAGAGGTCTGTGGGTTCTTACTTCCCAGAGTCCTTTCAGGTACAGAGGGTAGCTATTGATGCAGATGAGAAGACCCAGGCACAGAAAGGCTGAGTGATGTCCCTGTGTTTATAGAGCTTTTCTATCAGAGAGCCAGGCCAAGGTCATAGGCAGTCACACCCTAATCTGTATCTTTCTGCCACGTCTTAACTATCTAAGGACTCAGGCAAGCAGGTTAAGGCAAGATTTCTAAAAATAAAAGTATATCATTCTTCTTTGTAAATAAACAGATTAAAATCTGAGATCAAGACAAAAGAACTTTTTTAGTGCATACCACTTATAAGAAATAGGCGTCCTTTAAAGGACTCTCTGTTTTCGGAAACTTTCAGGAGCCCTGTGAAGTCAACAGCTCACAGGAAGCAAACAAGCATGGGATCCCTACAGACTATGAAATTCCTCCTATAGTTGCTGGATCGGGAGAAAGTCACACAACTGCAGGAAGGCTAGTCCCTGATCTAGTGACAGGTAGTACCATTGAGAGCCTAAACTTAGAGAAGGTAGATGTAGACAATGTCCTCTTCCACATCTTACATTCTTGAAGTCCACGAGTCCATCCCATTCACTCAACACATTGTCGTCTCGGATGCTGACCATACCTCGGACGGCATTAATATGGATGCTCTGGGTCCCCACAGACCCATCCAGAGGATGGCTGTCACTGATGGTCTGGAGAAAACCAAGCAACAAGGAGAAGAGTTGAAAGTCCAGGGTTTCTGCTTTGCCCATATCTTGCAGGTTTACAGGGACACTCCTAAGACATTTGAGAAAAGTCACCCTGGATTATCACTTATGAAAAAGTTCTGCTTAAGGAAGACTACACAGGTTGGGATACTCTCACTTACCGTCTGGGCCAAAGATGAAGTTAGGAGGAAAATCACTAGGATGGAAGATACAATCTGAAATAGAAACAAATATTAATGTACCCTAGTTACTTTAGTTTCCAGTGAGTCCAGAGCCTGGAACTCAAAGGGCCCCAAAGTTGGAGCCTTCTTAAAATTATTTTCACAGATTTGTATACCCCTGGGTCCCCAATGTGCACCAGAGGACTGTTTGGTGTGGTTGATACAGGGTGTGCTGGCTACTCAGAAGGCAAAGCTTTATCATTTGCTCAAGAACCCATTTTGTTTTGCTCTATATCTATTGTCAAATGACTAGGCTGAATTATTAGGCATCTTACCAATCACTTTACCTGCATATAGGACAGGACCACATTAACCCAAATCATAAAAAAAAAAAAAAATGATAATTCAGGTTCTCAGTCTTCCCTTTCTATTCATTCTTCTCTCTGCTCAACCACCGGGGACTCCTCCTTGCCCCCTCAGGCACCTTCTGTCCTCTTTCCTTTCCTTTTTCTCCCACTTTGCCTGAGAAGAAAGGACCAGTCACCACTTATTTACACCTCACTTGGAAATAGATTTTACTCAAATGTTACTAGTTCTTGAGATCTTTTCAGTGACTCATTTTCTCTTGGCTTGGCTTGCCTTACCTGTTGAGGGAATTCCAGGCATTAGAGAGTAAGTGAAAGAGAATTAGTAGGGCAGGAACGAGCCAGGATAAGAGTGTGTGACAGTGAACCTTTCTCTACTGAAGGGTCACTCAGCTTAAGTGCACTTAAACAAAAATTGACAACCTTCTTCCCCACTTCACAATACCCTATTGCAGTATGCACATACCATAACACCATAAAAGTGAGGTTCATCTTCAAAAGAAAAGAAAACAGTTCCCCTATGAACAATAATCATAATGCAATGGGATTAATCAAGGAGATACTTGAGATGCAAATAGCAGTAATATTTTATTTAACTATTCTGAGAGTTGGGGCCATATATCAAATACATGTGAAACTTTCTTTCACTGGCAATTTTTAAATATAATCAATCTAGGAAGAGAAAACCCTAAATATGAATATCTACTCAACCCCCCAAAATTCTTGACTTTTAAGAAATTAGTTATCAGTTTTCTTGGGAAATACCCATCATTCAGGTGAGTGTTCCAAAACAGAGAGGTTTGCCAATAGAGAGATTATGTGTCAAATTAATGATTAGAAATTCCATTTGGGTTTAATTTAAAGAGTCTATAGGAGGGGAAAAAGAAGTGCCCCTGGCAATTTTGATTCTGAAAACATAATCTGCATTTGAAATCAAAAATATACTTACAAAGTATTTCATATTGCCTCTCTTGCAGACCCCATATAACTGTATGCATAATAGAATTTTCTATGTCCCGTTTATTTTCTAAGTCTGGTTTATATAGTTCTGGACTTTTCAGTTATTGCCATAATAAAGGACTCTGGGTAGTTAACCATAATCCGGATGTCATTCAGAGGGGAAATAAGGCGAATTTATGTAATCACAGTTATCACTTTTCTTTAACTACTTCTAAATATTTTCTTTTTACTGTGCTACCTCTACTGCTTCCAAGGCAAACATGGCATATGAACAACTCTTTGTGGGCTGGCATGCCTATGACCTTAACAACTAAGGTAGGAATTGCAAAAATTAGATTCTGCAGAATGGTCCTGATACAGCATTAGTGAATTTAGCCTTTCAACTTCTCAATTACAGACAAGTTCTATACAAACAGTGGAGGGTTGAGAAATATCTTATGAAGCCAAAAGAGGCAGATTGAAATAAGATTAGATTGAAAAACAATTTGGTTAACAACTCTTCGTCCAAAACCAAAATCACAAGGTTGGTCTTTCAATGCCCTCTGCCCACCCACAAGGCTGGCCTCATTTTACCTCTTCAAACATCCGCCTCTAGTTGACTTTCCTGACATTCTGATATTTTGTTTTCACTGTATGGCTTCTCTCTCTCCTGCCAGCTTTCATTTAAGGGCTCTTCTTTTCCATAAAGGACCATTTGACTAACCCTTGAACTCTGAGAACTCCTTTCTATGATGAGTCGAGCACCAATTCAGGCCTTTTCATATACGATCTTATTTTTTCTCAAGCTCTTGATTGTTAGTGATCCAACTACCTGGGTCAAAGTCCAGAAGGCCAGAACCAAACAGATCATTTTCTTTTTCCTGGTAGAAAATGAATTTATGGGTGAGCTTAGTCACAAAAGTGATCAAAGGGGAAAGACAGACATCTCAGACCTTATAATGTTAAATGTAAATCAGCAATGGAAAACTGAAGTAGATGGGCTTTGGGGACTATCAGGTGACCAAAGGCTCAAATATCATACCATTATCTCCATTATTGTCTGTACTTGCAAAAACATGCACAGAGCACATATTCAACAGCTAGTGATTGAATAAGTAAAATAGATTAAAGGAATGCCTTTCATTATTTTGCCTGTAGATATCCAATTTTCCCCAACACAATTTTTACTGTTTTGCTTACTATAGCTTTGTAATATAGTTTGAAATCAGGATGTGTAATGTCTCCAGCTTTGTTTTTTCTCAGGATTGCTTTGGCTATTCAGATCAAGGACTTGACAATCAATAAATTAGGAAGGTGCCCTACAGAATGGCAGAAAATATTTGCTAATATATAAATAACTCATGCAGCTCAATAGTAATAAAGCAAGTAAATCAGATAAACAATGGGCCAAGGACCTGAATAGAACTTTTTTCAAAGAAGACATATAAATGGCCTTTTTTGAAAAGGTGCTCAACATCATTAATCATCATGGAAATAAAACTACAATAAGATATCATCTCACATCTATTAAGATGACTATTTTAAAAAAAGACAAGAGATAACAAATATTGATTAAGATGTGGAGAAAGGGAATCTTGATACATTGTTGATGAAAATGTAAATTGGTGTGGAGCCACTATGGAAACTAGTATGGTGATTAGTCAGAAAATTAAAAGTTGAACTAACATATGTCCCAGCAAACCTACACCTGGAGATACATACAAATAAATTAAAATCAGTATGTTGAAGAGATATCTGCACACCTAAGTTTATTACAGCATTATTCACAATAGTTAAGATATGGAAACAATATAAGAGTCATTTGACTTGTAAATCAATAAGAAAATGTGATTATATGTGCATATGTACACACATGTGCACACACAGAGAAATATTATTCAACCATAAAGAAGGAAGAAATCCTGCCAGTTGCAACAATATGGATGAATCAGGAAGGCATTATATTAAGTGAAATAAGCCAGATGGAGACAAATATTATTTGGTATCACTTATATGTGGAATCTTTAAAAAAAAAAAAAAAAAAAGCAATTTTATAGAACCAGAGAATAGAATGGTGGTTTCCAGAAGCTGCAGAAAGGAAGTATGGGGTAATGTATTTCCAAAGGTACAGATTTTCAATTGTAAGAATAAGTTTGGAGCATCTAGTGTGAAGAATGGTGATTATAATTAATAATACTATATTGCATATTTGAAAGTTGCTGAGGGTTGATACAGACACATACAAACACACACATACACACAGTTACCTGTGTTAACTATGTGAAGTGATGGATGTGCTAATTACTTTGATCTTGGCAATCATTCTACAATGAGTATGCATATGAATTTATCACACTTTATGTAAATATATATATAATAGTTACTATGTCAATCATTCCTCAATAAAGTTAAAAATAAAAACAACTTTCAGGGACTGATGAAACAACAAGTGCTATATCCAAGGAGATTGTAGAAATGTGGAAGAACTGAAAGTTAAACCATCTGTCTTGTGAGAAATGCTATAGAGCAATTAAATTAGCATCCAGAAGGGATCTTAAAATCCAGTGTGGATTCTCTAATAAAAATGATGCAGAAATCACCAGGAGAGAAAACAGGCAGGATTGTGAGTTGCAGGATATCAAGGGGAAATGCAATTGTATAAATTAGTAAGACGCTTTATCACCATCATTGTTATGACTTCATTTGCTTCTTATTACCAACTGTGAGTTAGGAGGAGCAGCAATTGTTAACTGAGTTTAGATGAGGACAAGCAATCTGTGTACTAATTCTCATTAACCGAGGCCCAATCCCAGCTGTGCAGTAACCACTTCTATCAGTGCAGAGTTTAAATTTGAATCCTGGTCTGTGGATTACAAAGGTTTCAATTATACCTATTTTCCCCAACAATGGGCTGCTTTTGGGACTCATTAGCTTTAAGCTGTAGATTAACAGAGCAAGGATCTTGAGGAACAAAAGCTCTATAATTTGCTTTTCAGATTACCAGGCGGAGCTGCTAATTTTCTTGGAGTTTCTCCTAGGCAAACAGGGGCCGGGAATCAATAAAGTCACAGATAGCCAAGCACTACTCCTCCTATCCCTAAATCCAGGTTTGAGGAGTACAGGAAACAAAAATAAAAGCAGTTGTGTCATAGAGGCAGACCAGAGATGGCCCCAAATGTGTTTCTAATCATGCACATGTCCGAAAAAGAAGGGGCACTTAGACAGGGATGCAAATAAAATGGAGAATGGAGTCAGAAAATCAGGCCTCAAGAAATCAGAAAGCCATGAGGTGTACAAACTCCCTCACTTCTAATTGGGCACTCATGAGCATCTGGTGTGAGGGGGTGTGGATGTCGGAGGATAGTCATTTAACTTCCCCCCAACTCCAAACATTCTCCCTGTAGGACTAGGCTCTGGGGTCATGCTTTCAACTTGTTGGGGTCTCTGGTGAGTAATAACAAAATGTTTAGATTATTTTACTCATGTAAATGAGTGTATAATTAAAGGAAATGATTATTATAATGATGTTTGAATCCTTGTTAAAATATTGATATGTAAGTTAAATAAACTCATCAGCCACATATTCAAATCTGTATTTAGTTCTGCAAAGGCCATCAGCCATGTGCATAAAGGAATAATCGATATATTCAAACCATGGAGTCTCATTAAGAAATGAGCTTTGGCCAAAACAAAGTTTGGAAAACACCTCCCTTTGGCCCTACGCTCTCTTCTATCTTTCAGTCTGTTCCACAAACTCTGACAGTCTTGCTATTTCACTTCTCAAGTCTTCTGAGGACTTCCAGGATTTGAACCCTTGTTTTCCTCTTCTTCCTAACCTATGCCTAGATGCTAACCACATCTGGCTCCTCAGTGTTCCCCATTTACAGCCCATGCTTTCATAACTCCAGGCCCAGTTCATGCCTGTAGACTCCTTACCCTACTTCTTCCTCCTATGCTTTCTTTATAGCTGATTCGCACAGTGCCCCACTCCCCAGCCTTTCTTCACTCCCAGCCAATCATGATCTCTCTTCATTCAAAATACAGTTCTGTGCTGTGTTTTTTTTTTCTACTTATATTCTTCATTGTGCTGTACTTTCTTGTATAACTGTCTGATCAGGCTATTAAATTGCATATTAAATTTATGTCCCTAGACTATAAATTCCATAAGATTAGAGATTGTTTTACTCTCTGCTGTTGCTCTAATATATAGTATTTAGAACAGTACCTGACACAGAGATGGTACTCAAAAAATACATTTGTTAACTGAATGAATGAATGAACGAACGAATGGATTGCATTGATAGTGTATTATCTCCCCCCCCCCCCCCTTTCTTCTGGGTACTTAGCAGTTGAATTTTTTAAAAACTATCTTTATTGTTGAAAGTATTACAGATGTCCCCTTTTTGTGTGTGTTTTTTTCTTCTCATTGATCCCCTCCCAGGCCTTCACCACCCTGTTGTGTGTGTCCATGGGGTATGCACATATGCATAGAAGTTCCCTGCTTAATCACTCCCCTCAGTTTATTTAATGGCAGGTCATGGAGTCAAGTATTTGATAATAATGTGAAGAGGAAGACCTTTAAAATCTGAACAGAATCTACAATATAATAATAAAAGTGTAATATGCTAATTAGACTAGGCATCCTTCTGGATGACCTTCCAGACAAAGCTGCCCTGCCTTGGTAAAGGCGACTGCCATTGTGGTGGGGGCCGAGCCCCTTGCACAAATTTCAAACATCGGGCCTCTAGTAATATGCATTACAAGGAAAAATGGACCTCTCTATAAACTCCAATTATAGTGCAATTATGAGATTAGCAGAGAGGCATTAATATTTTTGTCCCTGGATTATTTGGGGGGTGGGGGGGAGTAAAAGGGAAACAAAAGCCAGGAGTCTGCAAAGTTGTTTGCCTTTTATCTTGCATCCTGGAACCTCTGGCAAGAGCAGGACTTCTTTGCCCGGATCCCTTGCTTGGTGTTTGCTAAACACCCTTTGATTTTTTTTTTTTTTCTGTAATGCACCTGCCACCTGCTATAAACCAGAAATTTCCTCATTCTTATTTTACATTTTCTAGTTTCATCTTGGAATTCAGACATTTATATTCATCTTGTAATGGG